AAACAGTATAAATCACTTCCTCACACCTCTGGTGGCTGAGTGGTCCAAAAGCAAGGAGTCAGCAGATGCTATTCCTGATAATGACCTGAGTTCTCCCATGTGTTAGCTTCTATGTCCTCACATTGCAGAAGGGAAGAGTCAACTTTTGAGGGTTTCTTGTAAGTCCACTAACACCATTCATGAGGGCCCCATCCTCTTCTAATAAGCTCTGGTAGCACACACACACACACACACACACACACACACACACACACACACACACACACAGATACCAGCACAGCACATTGGTAATTATGTATCCACATATGAATGGCCACTATTCTTACAATAGCAAACAGGACAAAAGTAGATGTGGCTGTTGTCCTATATCGCTTGATAGGAACTAAAGTTTAAATTTCCTTTTATTTCATGTGTCACAAAATATTATTCTTCTCTTGTTTTTTGTCCAAACATTAATAAATAAATATAAATATAAAACCCAGCTCTTTATCCTTAGGTTATACAAAAATAGATGGGTAAAGGAGGATTTAAACACCCTGCCTACCTCTGCACACAATGGTACCCACTCCTGGGTACCCTTTCCACTGAGGAAAGGTCACAAAGGTATCCCTTACTCCTGATGTAGTTTTATTATATACCCCCTCAAAGGCAAATCACTTTTGAGCTCCACTATTCAGCATTGACAGATACATAAAGTGAGTGACTATATAAATAATTAATTGACTTTTAGACCCAAAATATTTTCTAAGACAAAGACTATTAACATGAGCTTGGAGACACTGAGGAAGCCTTCATCTGTCACCACAATTAGGGACATTATACCTGAGGTGGTTAGCCTTCCAAGACTACAGATCAAGTCTGGGTTTTCTACAAATCCCAGAGAAAGTGTCAAACCCTTCTAGAGCAATTCATTCCCAGGATAGTCAGAAAATAATTCTTTTAATCACTCTTTTTTTTCAGCCCTAGGAATCGAATCTAGGATCTCATGAATGCTGGGCAAGCATTCTATCTTTACCCTATACTCTCTACTCTACTTTTCTTTTTCAGAATGTTGAGACAATTTTGATAAGTTGACAAGGCTGGACTTGAACTTGTTATCCTTATGCTTCAACTCAACTTAAGCCGCTGGGATTACAAGCCTATGCCAGCAGGCCAGCAAAACTGAGATTTCCTTAGCATTCCCTGAGCTTAGGGACTCACAGCTTCTTCTCCTCTCTTCAACACTCCGTCTTAAACCCCATGGAAGAGGCAGCTTCTGATGCAGCCCCAGGATCTCCTGGTACCCGAGCCCTAGGAGAATGCAATTGGAGTGTGAGCTGGATAGAATGGCTCTCCTCTAAGCAAAGCAACACACACAGAGATGATCAAGCTGCTACTTTCAAAATCAGTTTACATAACTATAAATTTTACATGTATTATATAGTTATTGGTGTGTGTGTGTGTGTCACACACATGCCACAGCACATAATTGCACTAGAGTGCATGTGTGAAGGTCAGAGGGAAACTTGTAAGAGTTAATTCTCTTTCCATCGTGTGGGTCCCAGAAGTCGAACTCAGAACCTCAGGCATGGCAGCCAGTACTGCTACCTGCTGAGCCAGTTTATTTTATTTATTTATGTATTTATTTATTTATTTATTTATTTATTTATTTATTTATTTATTTATTTATTTATTTCATTTAGTTACCAACTTCTCTCAACCGCCTTCTCAGAGTTCCTTTTCCATGAAGCAAGCTATAGTGTTGAGACCCACACGCAGGAACCAAGGGTGGCTCGAACCAGCAGGTCAGTGAGACAGCAAGACCCACAGACCAAAACTATCAGAACTAGCTGGGCGGTGGTGGCGCACACCTTTAATCCCAGCACTCGGGAGGCAGAGCCAGGTGGATCTTTGTGAGTTCGAGGCCAGCCTGGTCTCCAAAGCGAGTTCCAGGAAAGGCGCAAAGCTACACAGAGAAACCCTGTCTCGAAAAAACAAACAAACAAACAAACAAAAACTATCAAAACTGCACCCTCTCAACAGCCACATGGATGAGCTGAGAAGTGTATCTTTCTGTAGTTGAGGCCTCAAATGGAACTAGAGACCCTAGATCCTGACTTCAGCCTTCTTGTAAATCTTGTCACAGAGGACCAAGGAAGCCCAGGTCAGACTCCTTTCTTACAGAAGCCATCCATGATTACAGATATGAGCCCAAGCCTCGAAACTTGGGGTAACTTGTTACACAATAAGAAACTTGGGGTAACTTGTTACACAATAACAGATCGCTGATACGGCTTGTGTAAGGATAACTAGATATCTAGTCACTCACTTTCCAACAAAGTGTCAAGTTCCACTTGGACAGAGGCAACACTTTCGTATCTCTCACAGTAACAAATTGGCCCTGTATCCATGATAACTAATGTCTATGAGAATCAGATTCAATTATTTTAAATAACAGTAATTTTTAAAAAATATTTATTCACAGTAGGGTAAAGTAGTAGTTACTGAAGACAGAAAGGGGCTTTTTTATTGTGAGGAAGGAAAAATAATAATTGGATTTAATCTTGGTTGTGCTCTCTTTATGTTTCAAGAACTTATAGGAAACTTCCACTCACAAAAGACTTCAAAGTCCAACTCTGTATTGTACTGAAGACATCTTTGGCCCGCCCCTTTTGGAACAAATACGTAGATTTGCCTAGCTGAGGGGTCTAATTATTTGAACCATTCTCACGAATGTTCCTCCTTCCACATTTTACATGAGCAGAAGGGAGCATAAGAAATATAAGAGAGGGGGGGAATATAAACAGAAAGGATTGTGCAAAAATCAAAAATAATAGAGACTATCCAGATCGAAACTGACAGAGCAGAAGAAAAGGACCTGGTCAGACCTCCAACTCCGGGCCAGCAGCATGGCTTAGTGAGGAAGAATGCTTGCCGCACAAGGCTGAAGACCTGAGTTCAAGTCCCAGATCCCATAGTAGAAGAAGAGAACCAACTCCCAAAAGTTGTTCTTTGACGTCCACATGTGCACATGTACACACACACACACAAAAAAAATAATAATAATAATAATTTTCCAAAATTTAAATCAAATATCCAGACCAGCAAAGAAATGACTCAGAAGACACAGTCTAATTTTGCTGTCTAGTCATTAACATTTTGACAAGGAGTTTGGCATTTATCAGAACAGAAAGAAGAAAAACAGAAACTGTCTTCCAAAGGACCCAACACTCTTGGAATTCTATGACCTAATTCTGTCTAACATTGTTGTAGGGGGACTGACTCTGTCTGATTCTCATGACATCCAAGCCCCTGTTTTCTCAGTGGTGTGTGCCACACCACTATCAGACACCAGGAAGAACACAGGATGTGGGAAAACAGCCTAGCGACTGTGCATGGAAAAAGTATTTTTCAATCAGTATAGAGTCCCACTGTCTCACTGGCTGCTTATCTCATGGTGAAGTCAACTTTTCATTACTTTCGTAGACAGTATATATCTGTGGCCCATGCTCCAGCCACAATAGAATGGTGGCTGGATCAGTCGGCTTGAGACTACAGTTAAGGGAATCATTCCCCAGACAGTGAACAAATCTCAAATACTTGCAATGACCACAGAACGAAAAGTAAGTAAGAAATTTGAGTGTGCCCAAAGCTGAAACAATTACAGCTAATTTCCTTAGACTTAAATACTCTCTATTAAAATGGGAATGACAATAATATGACCTGACAGCTCTTTTGAAGGTTAAATATATGTAAGAGTCTGCCTGCTGTAAGTTCACCCAGACTTTGACACCATCCATATTTTGGGTGGGATAATCTTCATCAGACACTTGGGAGGGAGTGACTCTGTACTATGCACTAAAGGTAGTTTTTCTGTTTGGTTTGGTTTTGGAAACAGAGTCTTAAGGATCCCAGGCCTATTATTCTGCCTCTACCTCCCAAAAGCCAGGATTATAGACATGTGCCACCGTGTCTAGTTTATACCGTGCTAGGGATTGAGCCCGGAACTCTGTGATGCTAGACAAACACTGTAGCAGTTCAGCTGCAGCCCCAGTCTCCAGAGTTCCTACCAGCATGCCTGGCTTTTGTTTTTAATTGCATTTTTTTTTTTTTTTTTTTTTTTTTTTTTTTTTTGGTTTTTCGAGACAGGGTTTCTCTGTGTAGCTTTGCGCCTTTCCTGGAACTCGCTTTTGGAGACCAGGCTGGCCTCGAACTCACAGAGATCCGCCTGGCTCTGCCTCCCGAGTGCTGGGATTAAAGGCGTGCGCCACCACTGCCCGGCTTTTTAATTGCATTTTTAAATATTTGTTTTATTCTATGGAAAGGGGACTGAGTCACGTATGTGCACCACTTGAGTATAGTACCTGCAGAAGTCAGAAGAAGGCACTGGATGTCCTGGCACCAGAGTTAGAGATGGTTGTGAGGTGCCACATGAGTGCTGGGAACTGAACCTGGGTCCACTGGATGAACAGCCAGTGTTCTTAACTACTGAGCTGTCTGTCCAGCCCCAGCATCCCTGGCTTATAGTCATTAGGTAGGATCAACACTTCATCTACAGACCACTATCTTGCCCATTATTACACACAAAAAAAGTCATCAGACATTTCCATATGTGCCCCACAGGCTAACACTAAAGTCACCTCTGGCAGCAAACTACCACTTAGTGTCCTGCAGAGAGTAGCTGCTCCATGTGCGTTAGATGCTGCCATTGTTACTGTCACTCCAGTCACTACTAGCCACCTGCCGTGGTGACAGCGCCTCTGTTCTGGTAAGAAGTCCCTGAACTGGCTGCCATACTTCTACATCCTTCTAAAAAGGATTAAGAGCAAGCTGGGAAATGGTAGTGCACTTGGGAGGCAGAGGCAGGCGAACCTCTGTGAGTTCAAGGCCAGCCTGGTCTACAAAGAGAGTTCCACGATAGCCAAGGCTACACAGAGAAATCCTGTCTCAGAAAAAAATAAATAAGTAAACAAACAAAAGGAAGCTGGTCATGAGGTGCTAACAATCCAACAGAAACCTACCATCATCTTCTATGGAGTCTCCTTTCATAGAGTGATAAAGGGTCGCCATTACGTTCAGCTGTAGCCGGCAGCTCTACACCTCGGCCACGCAGTGTGTGAAACATTATCGATTTCTTGCTTGGCACAGATGCTGCAGCTTGGGGAATGCTGGTCTACAGGGGCCCCTTGCAACTGCTCCTACAGATCTCCAAGGGCCCCACCACACTTACCTGAGGAAGGAAGGAAAGAGATATTCATGAAGGAGCCATTTGCAACAGAAGTCTGCTCCCTTCCCTCTTTTTGTGGTTTTGTGCTTATTTGGGTTTACAAGTGTGTTTTCTTTTCCCCTAAATTGCTCTTGCATATTCAAAGGATGTTTGCTTTAGGTGTTTTGATACCATGCTGTTTTCAAGCCCCAAATGTTTTTCATGGCATGTCTTGTTAAGTGTACAAGCTGAGAGGTGAATGTTGGTGACTGAAAAGAACACGGTATTCCTCAAAGTTTTCAAGTAAGCAAACGCAACGCAGAAATGAAGTGAGATTTCTGAGGCTCGGGATTAGCCAGCTGACAACAGAAAGCGCTTTATAGACCCTATTTTAAGCTTTAACACTAGAGTTAGTTTTCCTCTAGTGTTAAGGTAAAAATATCAAAAATAACTCTCTGTATTTATTCTATGACTTTTTTAATATGTGTGGAGGAGTGTTAGGGCATCAGAGTATGCATGTATATGTCTACATTTGGAGGCCAAAGATCAACACTGGGGTCTTCCTCAATTTGTTGTCCTTATATTTTGAGACATGATTTCTCACTTATCTTGAAGCTCACAGATTCAGGCAGACTAGCCGGCCAGCAAGCCCCAGGGGTCCTCCTGTCTCTACCTCCTACGCACTGGAAATACATGAACACATGTGCCGGAGATGGGACTCAGGTCATCACGCTTGTGCAGCAAGCACGTTACTGATGAACCTGTCTCCCCCAAAATGTCTGAAGGTAAAAGTGTGTTAACCAGCTTTCCACAGTGAGCCATATTCATCCTGCTGCTTTTTCTACAGAACTCTGAAAATACATTCAATGTATTTGCAGATTCATGGTCTTGTGGATCTTAGAACCCAAGAGTACCAAATTCCAGTTCTGGCTTTCTCCCTGACAGAATGGACAGACTTCAGCAAACTGCTGCATCCTGAGGAGCCTCAAAAATTACTTACTTTAGATCACCACCATGAGACATAAAGACCATATAGGTTGGTCAAATACCAAAGTGACCAGCACACAGGCTGTGCTACACAACCAGTAGGTGATGTGATCTTTTTGTTGTAACAGCTACAGGGCTGTGTATTTCATGAATGGGAAATAAAACAGCAATGTGTTTGTCTGCTTCAAGCTCCTGCTCTCTATCAACCTCTCTACCAGGTTCCCTGTTCCTGTATAGCATGTCTAATGTATCTGTGAAAAAGCAGTATCCAGTGTCCTGTGAAAATTTTCCAAGGGAGAGGTCAGCACAGCTCAATATCCCTTTCAGATATCAACCCCATGAGGGTTGTCTATCACTTTCCCATGACTCTGAATTACACTGACCCTGAGTCCCACATCAAAATCTGCAATGTTGCCTCTTCAAGCCAAAATTTGTCTGCCTGGGTCCAAGTAGCTTCCCATGCCTTTGTTGAAGGATCTGATTTAGTTGCTGTGAGTGGAGGTACTTAATGCTTTTAACAAGCCCCTTGGCATTTCCTATGACCATTAAGAGTTGGGGGGATCTTGAGTCAGGCCATATGTTTCTACTGCTTCCAAAGCCCAGAAGATATCCCCAGACATCTGGAAGGAAGACAAGAAGGTGCAAGATCTAAAAAGCATTGAGTGTGGCAAATCTAGTATCAACCTCTGAACCTATGGGAATACTGGACCCTCCTAGGTCCATGGGATTCCACTTTGAAGTGTTCATATTATGACCATGCTTGCAGGGCTAACAAGATGGCTCAGTTCAGAAGTGAGCTTGCAGTCAAGCCTGAAGACATGAGGTCAATCCCCGGAACTCACTTGGTGGAAGGAGAGATCTGGCTTCTGAAAGTTGTCCTCCAAGCCCTGCACTTGCACTGTAGCCTTCATACATCCCTTCCCCGACACACAGAACACACAGTGAACAAACGCATAGACATCCGTACAGACACACCGTAGGGGGAACCTTAGAATGGCTGTGATAATTAATCCTGAGTGCCAACTTGATTGTATTAAGACATGTAGTGGAGACTAGGAAGATGGCTCAGTCATCAAAGTGCTTGCCACAAAGCATGAGGACCTGAGTTCAGATCCCCAACACTCCTATGAAGACCTACAAGGAGTGGTATTTCCTTATAATCTTATAATCCCACTGCTGGAGAGAGACAGAGAGAGACACAGAGAGAGAGACAGAGAGAGAAACAGAGAGAGACAGAGATAGAGACAGAGACAGAGACAGAGAGACAGGGGGAGAATCCCTGAGGCTTGCAAGTACACCTAGCCAAATCGGTGAGTTTCAGGTTCAGTGATGGACTTTGTCTTAAAAGGTAAGTTGAAGAGCAGTCAAGACAGACACTCCACATCAGCATCAACCTCTGTCCTCCATACACACACATATACATGGATACATGCATGAACACATACATATACACATAAGCAAAAAGAAGTGCCTAGAAGTTTAGTAAAGTGCACTTCTGGGTGTGGGGGGTGTAACGGCACTTCAGTTATCAAATCAATTGGAAGTGTTCTTGACAAATTAAAGAGTCAAATCTTTAACAGAGTAATCTGCTTCAATCTGGCCAGCATGATTTGCATTTCAAAAATGACAAATTCCATAGTATACAACAAGCTCCCTGTTTATGAACTGTAATGGAATACAAGCAAAACCTACTTCTAAGTTCTCCAGTGAATCCCATCTATCTCCACTCTGCTCCTCTCTTGGTGCTTCCTGAAGGACTGTGAACATTAAAAATCTCCAGAAAATAATTTCTGAATGCCTTTATCAGAATGAGCAAGTGAATGCACTCTTCAGATTCACTTCCACAAGCTTTAATGTAGCTGACTACTTGGGTAGATGTGCACAAGACTTAGGAAATTGTCACCTTCAAGGTGATCACCTGCCACTGTTGTTGTTTTGTTTTTTAATCTGCTCGTTCTGGGCATAATCATCAAGTCCCCACAGTATGCTTGATCTCAGCCATGTCCTTTAGAGCACTGAGCCTTGGACTTTGCTCATAGTAGGTACTTTGGGAAAGTCAGGAAGTCATGCCCTTTGCTATTTGATATAAAGAGCCCAGGATGAGAAAAAATAATCACTAAGATAAATGAAAGCTAACCAACCCCCAAACATACCTGGGGTTAATTCAGTGGTCACAGAAGGGGGAAGCTATGCCTGATCGAGAACAATAGGTAGATTTGAGGGTTAAGTCATATGCCCTTCCTTTGGAAGGTGCTGGGTTCATGTCAAAGAACAAGGGTACATTCTGTGGTGTTTTGTTAACTCAGATCTCTAAGGCAATGGGAAAGTCTGCCTACTCAAAAAAAGCCTCTGGGCTATCAAGAACAGACTTTCAACTTTTGCCTGGGGTGTGAGTCAGTGGCAAATCACTTGCCCAGCATGTACAAAACCCCCAAGTTCAACCAGCAGCACCAAAACAGGGAACAAACACAAAAAGAAATTCCAATCCACTTGAGGATGCGTTTTCCTCTAAGGCCCTAATGAAACCGTTATAAGCAAGAGATCCAAGCATGATCTCAAATATCTTCTGTATTAGTAATGAATGTGGGTGTGGTCTGGCGACTGGGCTTTTTGTAGTTGTTGTTCTGATACTTTTTTTTCCTTTGGTTTGCGGGACATTCAGAATAAAGTCAAGCAAGCAGTCACCACAACTACAGAGGGTGTCACTTACGGAGAACAGGGGAGAGAAATGGTTGGGATCACTAGAGTTACCATAGGAACCAATAAATTGATACCAAATGTCACTGTGTCTAGATTTAGCCAAAAACTATCAGTGGTTCTAGTTTTCTTTCCGTGATAAACACCATGACCAAAAGCAATTTGGGAGGGAAAGAGTTTATTTCTGCTTAGAGGTCACAGTCCATCATAGAGGAAAACCAGAGCAAGAACTCAATTTAGGAATGTGAAGGCAGGAACAGAAGCAGAGACCATGGAGAAACACTGCCTAGTGTCTTGCTCCACATAGCTTGCTCTTCTAACTTTCTTATGTGGCTCAGGCCCAGCTGCCTAGGGATGGCACTGTCCACAGTGGGCTGGGCCCTTCTTCATCAATTAGCAATCATTTAGTATCAGGCCAATCTGATAGAGGCAATGTCTCAATTGAGAATCCCTCTTCCAAGGTCCAGGTTTGTATCAAGTTGACAAACATTAACTGGTACAGCCAGAGGCTTTGAACAAGTTTTCAGTGTTCACTCCCAACTAGGGAGTTCACAGCACTCACTGCTCGAATACTGGACATCATACTCCCAGGAACAAAAGTTCACACGAATGACCCCCAGGAATTTGTCTGTGATATCTTGATGCCCACAGTGGGTCACCTGTAGACCATATGTCTCTGTCTTTTGATTGGTTGATATGAAATTGGTCCTCAGTCTGTATGTCTCTGTCTTTTGACTAGCCGATATGAAATTGGTTTCAGCCAACAGAATCACAGAGACAGACAACTGCTATGAGGCTGGGAAGATAACTCTGTAGATGAAATGTTTGCTTTGAAAACATGACGACCTGAGTTCAATACCCAGAACCCATGTAAGAAGATGGGTGCACTGACTTAAGCTTGTAATCCCAGTGTTTGTGAGGCGGAGACAGGTGGATCCCTGGGGCTCGCTGACCAGCTAGGCTGACTGAGATTGACTTGTGGACTCCACATTCATGTGCATACAGAGAGAGACAGAGACAGAGATAAGCACAGAGGGACAGAGACATAGAACTACTCACGGGTGAGGCATTTATAACTAGATGTGACTAGAGTGATGGTTTTTATTCCTTGGATACAAATAAGAACCATTATGAATGTGTAGTCAAATGAATGCAAAGTCTTCAAGTCTATATATAACTTATTTTTCCCAAAAGGATGAAGTTACAAGCAGATGAGCAAATGCTCAAGAGAACTAGTGTAAAGGAAGAAGAAATTGTCAAGCTACCTCCTCTGGCTCCCTGAGGCAGATGCAGGGACCCCTCCCTAACACACAGTGCTGTTGCCTAGGCTGAGGTTCACC